GAAGCACGAAGTGGCGAGGGTTCACTGTATAGGTTAGATAGTGAAGGAGGTGATAAAGGCAGAAAAAAGATGAATGTAGAAATAAAACAAATGGGATCTTCATAAATGGCAGTTATTGAGCAATAGACCAAAATATAGGAGGTTATGGTGTTGTCATTGTGAAGTGCCATCGAGCCAGTTCCAACTCACAGCAACCTTATGCCAGCAAACTGAATGAAACACTGCCCAGTCCTCACGATAGATTTTAGATCTCTTGTTCCATTGTTGTTGCCTTAAGGATTGCTTCTTTCTGTACAGAGTTCCTTTCTGCCACTAGCCAAGGTAAGGTTAAATGTATGGGAGCACATGAGACTGTGTCATGGGGCTTAGGTTCTGCCTTCCTGTTACTCAAGTGATATGACCTTGGAAAATTGAGTAAATCTCTTTGTCATTGTTTCCTAAACATGAAACAAGGCCAAAGAATGCAATAATCTGCTTCACAGTTTCAGAATTTCAGAGACTGCAACCCATTACAGGACTAGAAAGCCTCATCTTTCTCCCTGAACTGGAGGTTTTGAAATGCTGGCCTTTCTGTTAGCAGCCCAATGTGAAAGTAACCACTGCCTGTGCTTATTAGACAATAATAAATCGATGTTGTGAGAATGTGGAAAACACAAAGAATCATAATCATAACCTAGAGATAACCTTTATGGCATGTTAGTATATCTCTTTCAACTTTTTTTTTTCTTATGTGTGTGTGTGTGTGTGTGTATTGCTAGCCTCAAGATCAGCAGTTCAAAACTACCTGCCACTCTCTTTTTAAAACGTACTTGAAAACAGAAAAGAGAAGGGGATCATGGATTGCCGGACTTGAACCACTGCAGGGAAGGCAAAAGCTACAACATCAAGATCTCCGATGTTCAGCCTTCCGGGAGACAATGTTCAACTACGGGATGTGGAGTCTGTGGCTGACTGCGGTGGAGGTGGAGGGGTTGGGAGATGGAATGAAAGGAGCAGTGGGTTCAATATTCTCTGAAGGAGGAAGGAAAGGCAAGCCCCTTCTATGCTTCAAATTTCGTAAAGGGCGTTTTCTCAGGAAACTTTTCTTTTTGATCCATAATTTCTAAAGAATCAGGACTATGTAGGGTAAATTAAAGCAGGTCAAATGAAACTCCAAGTAGTAAGAACTGGCACAGGAATAGGTAGTCCTTGATGAAACTCTTGCTCAAAGACTTCACCAGCTTTCCCCCAGAGTTCAATATTTACCGTTTCTTCATCTGGGAACCGAGGGCAATGCTGCCGGCCAGTCAGGAGCAGCTGATAAAGTGCGTTTTCATCCACTGCGCATTGGGCAACTTTCAGTCGCTGCTGGAGGGTCTTTAAGTCAGCCTTTTGAGGTTTGATAGTTTTTGCCTTATGCTAGATGTCTTTTTCTGAACCCCCTTCCAAAGCGTGAGGGAGGACTGTTCCTTACTGGAATTCCTGGGACCAATGACCTTTACTTTCATTTTCTCCGGGCACTCCAGTTCCGTGAAATCATGTCTGGTCACCTTTTGCAGCACGCCGACCTGCTGGGAGCTACCTAACATGCACAGCATAAACACGCAAGACTCAAGATGGAGTCATGAGGCAAAGAGCGAAGCCCTCAAGGAAGAGGAAAGCTCCCTAGCTTCTCGGATTGCCGATCTTATTAACAGTCTAAAGGAGGACATTTGCAACGCTTTAGATGTGGGAGCTATACCCAACAACTACAGGCTCAAAATATTCGCAAACTCCCCACACAGTCGCCCATGTAAACACATCCGGATCTTCCTGGGGTTTGCAACAAAAGATCTCCTTTTCACTAAGAATCTGCATCAAGTTCCTGGCACATTCAAACACACACATTTAAGGGTTAAAGTCTTTGCACTCAAATAACCCTCCCAGAGGGAACAGGGCAATGTTTTCCTACAATGTTTGATCAATTTTCGACTGATATCATTTGCAGAATTCTTCAATTTCTTCCTCACTAGCTTTTGTGGTGGGTGCATAAATTTGAATAATAGTTGGATTGATTGATTTCCTTGAAGGTTGGTAGATATAATCCTATCACAGAGAGCATTATACTTCCTGATTGATTTTGCAATGTCCTTTTTGACAATGAATACTATGCCATTCCCCTGATTGTGTTATTCCTGGCATAGTAAATCATAAGATTTTCTGACTCAAAATGGCCAATACCAGTCTATTACACCTCAATGATGCCTAGAATATTTATCTTTGGGTTCTATTTCAGTTTTGATGACTTCCAATTGTCCTTGATTCATACTTACCACATCCAAGTTCAGATCAAAAGCATATTTTTGCAACTGTGTCTCTTCACCTTGAGTCACGGCCCCTCAGCAAATGAAGGTCTGGAAGGCACCACTTCTCCAGGCTCCCCTGGACTCACGTTGCTAGGGTTGACTCCGTTCTGAGCGTCAGCGCTTCCTCAGTCACATTTCAAGTGCCCGCTGAACTGAAGGGCTCACTCTCTAGGACAATAGCCAACAATGTTTTGTTGTCACTCAGTAAGCCCTCAGCCCCTGACAGTTTCAAAGCTGGGTCCTTCCCCTGAATTGGACAGCCCTTCCTCATGGTCTGTACTTAGTCTGGCAGCTCCACTGAAACCTGTTCCCTCTGGGTGAAACACCAATACCCGTGACATAGCAACACCCAAGCCATCAGAGGAAGACACACTGACAGACAAGCGGTGGGGAGATGATGGTAAGATAATAAACATATGAATGTCGGATTTGGGGAGTAGGGACTTGGGAATGGCTGCAGA